TGTCGCGGGCGTGCCTCTCTCCCACACAACCACCGCACTCCCTCTTCCTTTCGGCCCCTGTTGTTCTCCGTCTTGGCGTCTTTCTCTCGGGATCGGCTCTTCTCTGCGTGCATTTTCACACTCGGCGCTTCGTCTGCTTGACTCTTGGGGGGACTTTTGGTCCCCCCTGCTGCTGTCGAAAACTTGGCCATCTTGGAAAAGAAATGGAATCAGGGACCGGAGATTTGGACATGATTTTGATGGGCATGGATACGGGGACCCTGGGCGTGGCAAGGCTTCGCACGGGGCACCTTGTCTGCGTGTACGCAGAGGTAAGCTTGGTTTCCACCCATGCAATTTGGCCGCCGCATCCGGGATACAAAACGTCGAGGCGAACGCAAAGTTCCTTGCAATGGTTCCTTGTGTCGACAGTTTGAAGCACGTTGTACATCGATACCGGTAGTGATGTACGCCGTGCTTTTGATGTACATTCTCTGCAAGGAGTTCCGTGGCACGAGCTTTCTGACGCAACGTCAAAGGCTGGGGCATGTTGGCGGAGTGAACGGCGGCTGCCGAAAGGGGATTTATATCTTCGGCGTGTATGACTCAACCCGCCATCGCCAGGGAGTTGTGTCGCTTACGCTAGCCAGCCGCTCTCAACCTTTCCTCTAGCCACACGCCCCCGCTGTCCGTGTATAAGGGGCTAAGGGTATTTCGTCGCGCTTTCGGATGCGATAACTCGGACCGCTCGGGATACAGCACCGGCACCGCGCGAACGCACCAGTGGACCGACATTTATCTCTGTGAACAGCGCTGGTCCGCTTTTCACCTCCCGTCCCCCCGCTCTCCGTTGACCACAAGCCCCGCATTTTCGACGTTTGTTGCCAACAGGACTGGGTTCAGATGGGCAGCGTGCGGACTAGGCTCCTATCCCTTCGCTCGGCGCTGGAGATCTCCTTGCGTAGCTTGGAGGAGGGATAGGAGAAAGAAGAGCGGCGCGCCTGTGGGCGAGGGGGGGGGTGCAGCATGTCCCCACCGAGGGGGGAAGAGGAGATGAAGATACGGCGGGTAATGCTGTATGCGACACGACGGGTGAAAACAAATCCGCAGCATCTTTGCTGGAAGAAAAACAAATGGCTGCGCCCGGTGCAGACAGGACCGAGCGTCTGGGCGAAGAATAAAGGAAAAATATTTTTGGTGTGTTTCACCGCCGGTTGCTTGCGTGATCGTGGGGCTGTGGTTCGTTGAGGCAAGACCCCATCTATCATGGAAGCATTGCACGCGCAAGGAACTGTCTTCTTATTTCTTACTCCGAAGTATTTTATTGTCGTCTTGTTCCTCAGGCGAGGGTTGCAACGGCAACCCGCCCGGAACGCTTCTACTGATGGCGCTTGTCTTCAAGCATGTTAGTAGTGATGGCGTAGCGTGGATTCACAGATGGCATGCCGCCAGGACATTTATTGGTGAACGCAGTGTTCGCTTCAAAGCTCATGGATGTTCATTTAAGTGTGGGTGGGGGGGGCAGGTCACTGCCTGGGCGACGGCGAGGGTTGGCGTGGTCTAACGTTCGAGCGAGGCGTTTATCGGGCACGTGCTTGCCGTGTCAACTCTTTCAAATGTCGCTTGGGCGGGGTCCTTTTTTTTGTGTGTGTGTTTTGTCCTGATGTGTTGTTTTTTTACATTCGTTGATGCTGTCGGTTCTAGTCTTTGGTTCCTCTTTGGCAACGACACCCCGATCGTTGGGTCTGTAGTCTTTATCGTGTGTTCTGGATGTTGATTGAAGCGTAGATGAGCTCTGGTTAGGTTTATGACGGGTGCGTTCTGAAACTTTGTGGAGCTCAAGAATGGAATGAAAGGGGCCTGGCCTCGGAAAAAAGCTCGTAGGGCGGAAGCATGTCCTGAGGGGGGTGAATCCCGCTCTTCTAAATTATGCGATTCTTGGTGGCGCGAGTTGTCCCTCGGAGAAGAGAAACTTTGGAACACGGGCGGCGGCGGTGGCGGCAACCACGGTTGGTAGCCGTGTTTCTTCGGCAGTGTTTCGGCCGGGGCGGTTCTTCTTCGCCATTTTTCTTCGCATTTTTTGGCCGCTTCTCCTGGCTTGCACCAAGCAAGACCGAAGTGTGTGTGTGTGTGTGTGTGTGTGTGCCGCCGTATGCATGGACGCAGGCAGGGCAGCGAGTGACGTAGACCCGCCGGGCGCAAGCCCCTGGTGTTTTTCTGTTGGTCTTTTTTTGGTAGTGGTGGTGTTGAGATGTGCGTGTTCTTTGCTGTGCCCGTGTGTCTCCCGCCAGGCACACGATCTTGTCTTTTTATAAATCATGTGGTATTCTCATGTGGTGGGGGGTTGTTCCCCCCCCTCCCCGCCCCTGCTCCCCCTACCCCGCGCCCTCCCCATTCGCGGTAGAGAGAGGAGGCGCAGAACGTTTGCCCGCCTTGTCTCTCGAGAAAGGGGTCGTATTCTACGCGGCACAGTTCTGGTGTTGTAGCCCTTTGGGTACAGTTATAATCGTTCTCGCCACAAACCACAGACAGCCAGCACTAGCGGGTGGTGTCGTCGCCTTCGAGTGACTGTCGCCGTCGCGCTATTTCTGGTGGCCGACAAATCTCTCTGGGGTAGCGCGTAAGGTTGCTTTTCAAGGACCGGGGGGCAGGGGGTGGTGGTACGTTAGGTAATACTTAAACATTCGCACCCTTGCTTCTTCCTTATAGAAATATGAACGAGCAATTAACTTGCCTACGTCTTGACAGTAGGCACGCGGCGAGCGTAAGGAAAGCTAGGGAGGGGAGTGTGGGACCCTGGTCGGGACCCTGGTCCGGTGCTTGCCTGATGTGGTACGTAGCAATCACCCGGGGGGGTCGTACCGTGCCGAGAGGGTACAATATTACGATTTGGGATGGTCCTCTGCGGTTTGTCGATCCCGACCGCACTGACTGGTTGCCGGACTTCACGTGTGCACTGCTGCTGTGTATGGTGGTTTCTTTTCGGAAGGATGATGTTTACGGCAAGGCATCTAGCGAGGAAATGACAGACGGAGGGCGCGCGCGCGGGGGGG